TTTTTTCGATTTTAAACGGAAAAATCTTATTTGTCAAAATCGGATTTTCCCATTTGTTTTTTAATTATATATTGGAACTCTCAAGAGTCTTAGAAGAAGAGAAAAACGGTTCAAGAAACATGCACATTATCATTTTCTATAAATTTTGGCTATTGAAGCATTACTTATTGTAATCTTTTTTTATTGATTCCATTGTACAATTGATGATCGAGATCTTCATTACAAGTATAATTTAGAGAGCGATAAAAATTAGCAATGAGAAATATAAGAAGCTAAATAAGAAATATATGATAACAGAGAAGAGAATATCGTTTATATTTGTATAAAGTTTATATTATTAATAACTAGATGATGATAAAATTATTGAAAATATTTTTGTCTTATTCATTTTTATAAAATCTATTATCATTTAAGCTCGCTTCACATTTTTTATCCTATACATCTATCTATCCATCGCGCTTTTCTCTACTTCGTCAACAACACTCTAAATATGTTCTTATTCCTAATCTTACTCAACACTTTTCACATGATATTCTCAAATCTTTTTTCTCTTGGTCTACGATGACTGATTGAAATAATCTTTACAGACAGTGATTTTCTTGTCTTTTCTCTCATCCTTTAAAAGAACATTATACTATCATATTCTATACATGTCTAATCTTGACGAAATCATTCTTTTACGAACTCTCACCGATTATTCAAAGAAATCGTCTGTTTTTGATAAGTTTGTCGCACTGGATAAATTGTCACAGTAGATTCAAATACGAGATTTTCTGTATCTGATAAAATTTGTGATGTCTTTTGAAAGCTTTTCTCTGAGCTAGTAAGGTATGCGTATATTTTGATGATACACACGTGTAATATGCATCAGCGATTATGGAACGTCAACAATGTAAACTATAATTTTTCTGTTGAATGAATGAATAATTCGAATAGCGTAGATGTGATATTTATAGTCTTGTTAAAGAAATCTAGGCATAATGTCTGTACTCTATCTGTAACTAGATTTTTTAGTTCAACAAAAAAATTTCACCGTTTGACACACATGGCTTAATCTGAAGATTTCTAGGCTTTTCGTTTCGATTTTTTCCTTGAAAGAACACGATAACATTGACCGTAATAAATAAGTTTATTGAATATGCATTAAAAAACGAATTTAGTTTTCAATTTGAATAGAATTTTCTTGATATATTTTGAGAAAAATTAAATTTTTAATCAACTAAAATATCCGAAATATTTTGAAAAAAAATTTTCTTCTAATTATTCTGTTTGAAATTATTAAACATTAAATCATGAATTATCGATTGTCTATGCAACTATTAATAAATATGGTCTATATATGTTCACATGTATAATATTAGTGACATTGGTTAGAAGATCTTGTTAAATGAACTGTTAGTCTATTACATTGTTGTGCAGACCGTACCGTTTAGAATCATAGAATATCTGGATAGTGTCTAATACTATTCAGTTTAGATCAGAGATGAGTGAGTCACCAGTTTTTTGAACCTACGTCCGAGCCACATGAAAAATTAGATCAAAATCTTCTTGAATCATTTTCTAAACGTTCACATTTCCACTTTCAATTCGTTTTTGGAAGAATAACTTTCAAATCGTTTCTAGTGTTGCTAATCTTGCCCTATGACGAGACGTTTTTCTTCGAATATTTTGAATTTTCAAAATATTTTTGTTGTCAAATACAAGAAATACACTTATGATAATATAAAATTTCTGATGGCTTTCTTGAGTCAATTATTTACAAATTTATAGAGTCTTTTCTTTTGACTGAATCATAAAAAAATACGACTCGATTCCAAATTGTCATCCATATCTGATTTGGATATTTACCGACAAATAATTCAATTGATCTGTTTTATACGATCATTTGTTGTTCTATGATCTTAAAATGTTTAATTTTTTTGCACATGATTTTCTTTTATGTATTTTAGATAGTGAACAAATCTTACCATGTCTTGGCCTGAAATAATAACTGTTCAACAAAATAAACGATATGAATTAGTATTAACTGGTGAAGAAATATCAGATCGTCTTCAAAAATCAGATAGACAATTAGATTCTGCTCTCTACAAATTAAAACAATTGAATTTTCTTGAAATAACTCATACTAGTCTTTCAACACTTTCATCTGACATCTCACAACTATTCAATTTAACTACACTAACATTGACATCAAATAAATTACGTGATCTATGTCCACAATTAGCTGAATTACGAAAAATGAAACATTTTAATGCATCCTATAATGAATTGGAACAGGTATGTCAATGATGTCAGTTATCGAATCATATTGGCAAAACCCATATGATTTAGATACCTGATCAACTTGTTACTAACTGGCTTGAAATTGAAACAATTAATCTCAGTCATAATCGTCTAACAAAATTATGTTCATTTCCTATTGGTTTACATAAATTAGCTGTACTCAATTTGGCTCATAATCAATTTCAAGATTTTCCACAATTACCTACAGATTTAGATAATTTATCAACATTAGATCTGTCATCAAATCAAATTGTTGAAATACCAACATATTTGTCAAATTTATCACAATTGAAATTTATTCACTTAGACAATAATCAAATAAAGGAGATACCAGTCGAATTATCTCAATGTCAAAAATTAAGAGGTAAATAGTACAAATAATAGGAGTATTAAGAAAAATATGCTATATTTCTCTCTCTTTATGTTTAGAATTACGTTTGAAAAACAATCCATTGAAAGATAATCGATTGAGAAAATTAATTGAACAAGATAAATTCAAAGCAGTATTGGAATATTTGGAAAAAGATTATTTAGAAGAACAAAAGAAACTAAACAAAAATACACAATCAAAAACTGATAAATCAAAAATAGTTCAGTCAACAATGAAAACAACAGATCAAGATCAGCAAGAGCAATCGATAATTGTTGATAAAATCTATGTTATGTATTTTGATGAAAAAGATTGTAAAGGAAAACAAAGTAAGTCCGTCCATGATTCTTATACAGTACAGTAAAAGAATAACTCTGATCTAACATCAATAAAAGTTTAATTAGTTACTTACGAGGGAAGGTCCCCAAGGGTGACCCTCAGTTTTGAATGCGATACATATCAGTTTGTAGAGCTCGACGAGCTGATTACGATGGCATAAAGCATTTTCCCTCATGGCTCTAGAAGACCCGGTTTTTTGGAAAACCAGTTTTTTTGAAACCCTAAAAAGTAAGCAAAACCTTTCTTAATGAGACATAATTGTAGCGCGCACATTTCTGATTAAAATGAGACATCTCCCAGCTCTACACGACCTTTCTTTGCAAAGTTATAGAATGTACAAAAAAAGCCCTAAATGTTTATTGTCAGCTCAAAAGCTACAGAAATAAGAAGGAATTAATTTAGGACTTTTCTTGTAAATTATATAACTTTGCAAAGAAAGGTTATGCAGAGCTGGGAGATGTCTCATTTTAATCAGAAATTTACGGGCTACAATCATGTCTCATTAAGAACGGTTTTGGTTACTTTTTAGAGTTTTTGAAAAACCAATTTTACAGAAAAGAGCCATGGGGGAAAATACTTTACGCCATCGTAAGGTTCAGCTAGATCAAAATTCAAGTGAATTTTATTTTTTCGATTTTAATACATATTCTGGTTCGTCTTTGGACGCTGATTCCGAATAACACATTCCGAACTTCAAAAATCCTTTTCTTCGTGG